ATTTTGAGGGCTGTCATTAACAAGATACCTGCTGCCACTCTATCTCCTTTTTGTTAACCTGAGTGTAGAATGCCTGATAAGTCCAGTCCAGATTCTTATCTGTACTTGGTTTGGCTTGTCTTGAACTTGTGTTGATAACATCTGTTTCTTTCCCCCACATCAGGCTGTCTTGGATCAGATGAAAACACTCATTTTACCTCACAGAATTGTTCTGCTTTAATCTACCTGGAGGTGACCAGTGAGCCAAGAAGCAGAAAATATACATCATCCCACTCTCTCTAATTCTCTCCTACCAGACATGCACCACCTAATCCACATTTTGATCCTGCCAGATGGCCCAATCGTGTAGAACATGACCTTGCCAATGACTTCCCCAAATGGGACTTATGTAAACTTGGAAAAGCTGAAGCCAGACTATGACCCAGAGATTCTATTTGGCTCATTTTCTCCTGGGAGCTTTTGCTCAATAGTAGCAAAACTTCTAGACACAGTTAGATTTGTACTATTAGATTTGCTTGGCATGTATTGCCACATTGGGTCTCATCTCTCCTTGGCTCATACTAGGTAAAGCAATTTGAGGAAAAAACAAACAAAAAAAGATAACCTAAGTCTTGACAAAGGGCACACAGGTACCAGAAAGGACAAGTTTTGTATCTTACATGCCTAAAAGAAAACAACTCCACCCATCAGACAAAGATTATGCAAACCAAGGTAATATTAATTTCAGTTATAGCTTTTCAAAACTGAATTTTACATGGATTAGGAATATATAAATAAGTGGTGAAGTCTCTAACGAAGCAAGAGATGATTAACAAAAATGCTAAGATAATGGCTACTAAGCTGGAGGACTTGATCAGAGAATGTGTCATAAAGAACATAATGTTCTATGCTTTAATGGGTGTATATACGGGGACCTTCTTTTCTTACTCTCTAATGTATATATATTTGTTATACATGCAGTTATAAGATATTATAATGTTTTATACACTGCTCTGTATAGGTGTTTGTTATGCTACATAAAAAATTAGGGAAGGCCGGGCACGGTGGCTCATGACTGTAATCTTAGCACTCCGGAAGGCTTCGGAGGGTGGATTGCTTGAGCTCGTGAATTGAGACCAGCCTGAGCAAAAGTGAGACCCTATCTCTACTAAAAATAGAAAAAACTGAGGCAAGAGGATTGCTTGAGCCCAAGTTGGAGGTTGCTATGAGCTATGATACCACTGCACTCTACCCAGGGCAACAGCTTGAGACTCTTTCTCAAAAAAAAAAAAAAAATTAGGGGAAAAATAAATGAGGAAACTGTTCTCTGATATGGCAAGACTTAAAAGATATGTGATTTAGTGATTAAAAACCACATAGTTAAGAGACTGAAAAGACAAACAATAAATTGGAAGAAAATCTTCACAAACACATATCTGATGAAAGATTTGTATTTAAAAAAGGTAGGGAGGGGGGTGGGCCGATAGAGGGAGGGCAATAGGGGGCCACACCTATGGAGCATATTGCAAGCACAAGTTGGATTTATCAGGTGTAGAACACAAATGTCTTAATGCTGTAATTGGGTAAATGAGGTGAAGGCTGTGTTGATTAGTAGGATGTAAGTACTCCAATTTGTACAAATAATCAACACATTGAATCCCATAATGGTATAAATGTATTTATGATCTATGTACAAATGATTTGATAAAAAAATAAAAATTTAAAAATAAAAAAGGTAAATTAACTGAAAACTCAAAATAAGAAAACAACCTGACAAAAAAATGGGAAAAATATCCAATTAAGATAAAGAGAGCAAAGAAGCATATGAAAAGATGCTTAACATCATATGTCACCAGGGAATTGTAAATCAAAACAAAATACCATTATACACCAATCAAAATGGCTAAAATCCAGACAGTGACAGCACCAAACACTAGCAAGAATGTGTAGCAACAGGAACTCTCATTCCCTGATTATGGGAATGCAAAATAGCACAGACACCTGGAAGGCATTTTGGCAGTTTCTTATAAAATTAATCAAATTCTTAGTATATGTAATTTAGCAATGTGGCCCCTGGTATTTATCCAGATGAGTCGTAAACTTATGTCTACACAAAAACCTATTCATAGCCTCATTTATAATTTCTAAAACTTGGAAACCACTAAGATGTCCTTCAACAGGTGAAGGGATAAATAAACTGTGGCATATCCACAAAATGGAATATTACTTAGTGCTAAAACAAAATGAGATATCATGCCACAAAAAGACATGGAGGAAATCTCTTTTTCTTTTTTCTTTTCTTTTTTTTTTTTTTTGAGACAGAGCCTCAAGCTGTCACCCTGGGTAGAGTGCCAGAGTGCTGTGGCATCAGAGCACACAGCAACCTCCAACTCCTGGGCTCAAGCAAGTCTCCTGCCTTCGCCTCCCAAGTAACTGGGACTACAGGTGTCTGCCACAACACCCAGCTATTTTTTGGTTGCAGCTGTCATTGTTGTTTGGTGGCCCAATCTGGATTCAAACCAGCCAGCTCAGATGTATGCAGCTGGCACTTTAGCCACTTAAGCCACAGGCACTGAGCTGAGGAAATTTCTAAGTAAAGGAAACTAATCTAAAAACAAAAACAAACAAACAAAAAAAACTACCTACTGTATGAATCCAGCTGTATGACATTCTGGAAAGGCAAGACTAGGAAGATGAGACAGTAAAAAGATCAGTGCTTATGATATCAGGGACATAGGGAGAGGTAGGAAGGGATAAATAAACAGAGCACGAGGGATTACTAGGGTAGTGAAACTATTCTGTATGAGACTACAATGGGAAATATATGTCATTACACATTTTTCAAAACCCATAGAATATATAACACAAAGAGTGAACTTAATGTAAACTACGGACTTTAAGTATCAATATTAGGGCAGGGTCCGTGCTCAGTGGGTAGGGCACCAGCCACATACACTAGGGCTGGCAGATTCAAACCTGGCTCAGGCCTGCTAAAACAATGACAACTACAACAAAACAAATAGCTAGGTGTTGTGGTGGGTGTCTGTAGTCTCAGCTACTTGGGAGGCTGAGGCAAGAGAACTGCTTAAGCCCAGGAGTTGGAGGTTGTTATGAGCTGTGAGGCCATAGCACTCGACAAAGGGAGACATAGTAACACTCTGTCTCCAAAAAAAAAAAAAAAAAAAGTATCAACATTGGCCAAAGGGAGACATAGTAACACTCTGTCTCAAAAAAAGTATCAATATTGGCTCATCAACTGTAACAAGTATACCACATTAATTCAAGATTTTTTTTTTCAAGATCTCAATAAATTAGGGAAACTGTGAGGGTAGCAGGGGAATGTAGAGGTATATGGGAACTCTGCACTTTCTATTTCATTTTTCTATAAATCCAAATTGCTCTAGATATGAAGTCTATTAATTAAAAATAAACACATATAGGTGGCGCTTGTGGCTCAAAGGAGTAGGGTGCCAGTCCCATATGCCAGAGGTGGCAGGTTCAAAAAACTGCAAAAAAAAATCAAAAACCAAACACACATATAAATATGATTAATATGCTATCTTATATTTGTATCTATATTTGTACTTGTTTACTTTGTGCATGTTATATAAATATGTACAAATAAGCTCTAGAAAGATACTCAAGAAAGAAATAACAATGGTACCTGTGAGGAATTGGGAGAAAATTTAAATACACACACTATTTTACCAAGTTCCCTGGCATTATGTAATCTGACTGTAAAAACAAAATATGGGGGCTTGGCGCCTATAGCTCAACCGGCTAGGGCGCCAGCCACGTACACCTAAGGTGGCGGGTTCGA